ATTTCCCTCGCTGATCCCTCGCTGATCAGCGAGGGAAATTTTCCCTCGCTGATAGTCGTCGCTGATACCTGGTTTTCTAGTAGTGCATTCAAGTTGCAGAAATTCCTACAACTACACCACCAAAGAAGCTATTTCTGTACTATTTCTTTTAGGTGTACATACAGTTGGATTTACGAGATCTCAACTATTTTTCTCTAACAAACTAAATACTAAATAGAATTTAAGTTTGTACAATTAAATAAAAAAATTTCATATTTAAAAATATTACAATATGTTTTTACGATATTATTTGAAAAGGTATTTTTCAACAAATAAACGGTGTTCTATAAAAAAGAAGAGTTTATAGAATACTTCTCAATAATATCATATATATATATATATATATATATATTATATAATAGCTATTATAATGCCTTATTTAAAAATTGTCCAAAAAAACTTGTTAAAAAGCTTAAATACGTCCAATCAACTTGTTGTAACATTTTTAAATTAGACATTTTATAGTTTGATCCTATAAACTTAAGTCTTATAAAGTACGTTTAGGACGATTAAACATCTTATACGTCCTATAAACCCAATTTTGTTATAGCAAACATTGTTGGACCAATGACCCTTTGATATAAAGAAGTTAGTTCTTATCGAAAAGCAAAGACTTTTATTCGTTCCAAAAGGCATAAACGAGCTTAATTACAAATCGATATATCGAGACTTAGATCACCTAGCAAAAAAATCATGACCATCGGATTTATGATCGAATTGATGATCATCAAAGCAAACGTAGAAATCGCCATGATCACCAAGCAAGCTCGAGCTTCCAACTTCATCGCATGAGCTAGAAAAAGACGGTAAAGAGGCGTAATTCATCGTTTTGGATGAAACCAACAAATCTTTAGCCTTTGCCAACTCGGTTTTCAGCCGCTCGACCTCTCTTTCGAGCCGGTTTTTGTCGCTTGAAACACGTTCGAGCCGATGTTGCAGCACCTTGTGTTCCGTCTCCAGGCTCTGGTTCCTCCATCGGGCTCGTTTGTTTTGGTACCAAATGGCGATTTGCCGAGCCGGGACGCCGAGTTCTTGAGCGAGTTGACTCTTGCGAGTCGAATCGAGCTTGTTGTTGAAGTTGAAACTGGTTTCTAGGAGCTTTACTTGTTCATTTGTAAGCCTTTTCTTGTTGGTTTTTTGTGGGTGCTTTTTGGGTGCTGGAAATTGTTCCATATTTTTGGGGGTGTAATTTGAGGGGTAGATAGATGTATGTAATGTAATGCACTATGAGTATATATTTGCTTAAATAGAAATATCGGTTCAGAAAGTTTCGCTGCTACGTCGTTTTCATGCATGCAAATGGTCACGTGGGGGGTAAGGCCCATTTTAAAGGGACGGATTGGATGGGAATGGGATCCATTTTGACCTTTTACTTTATCATTAGCTCACTTTTAGTCCTTCATTTTGTCAATATGTCAGTTCACACTATTTTTTTTTTCTATTAATGTATAATACCTTGTATTATTATTTTCTTAAATAATTAGTAAAATGCAATTTAAAGATCGAAATAACATGCCCTGGTTAATTTCTTTAAAGTTATTGCAAAAATATCCACAGAAAGTGTAAAATATTAAATTATATCATACATATTGTTGATGGAAATTTGCATAATTAATGATGTTTTATATTTTTTTTAAATGTCAAAAAAGAGTGTCTATTTTTTTCTTTATATGCTAAGCGAACTCGGTATTAATCAAGTAAAATTTCTAATTATTTTCTAAGAAACAATATATACTTCTTATTTATATTAGGGATGTGCAACGGGCAGGTCGGGACAGTTTAGGTGGCAAACCAAAACTCTATTTGGATTTTAGATATGGAAATCAAGACCGGGATTTTAGGTTTTAGATTTCGAATTGCTTCGGTTCATGTTGGTCGGGTTTTGGATTGAGATCAATTAGGTTTGGGTATAGTTATATTGCAAAAAGTATATATATATTCAATCGATTTTAAGGATGAATTTAATCGAGTGAGAGGATTGATGAAATCGATAGTAAGTTTGGGTACTAGAATTTAGGATTTTCAAAACATAATTATATAAATAAATATATTTATATAATATTTAAAAAAATTATGTATATATATTTCGAGTTTTCAGATGGGTCAAGTGGCCAATTATCAAACCCGACCCAAACGCAAATATCACCCCAGAAGTCAGGTTTTGAATTTCGTTATGAATGGAAATGGGACGGGTATTAGGTGGGTAATGCATTCCCATCCCTGACCCTGTCCCGATTAATCCTTGACGGGTTCGAGGGAATGGAATCCCCGGTGGATTCGGGTAAAGGTTTAGTTAAAAAAACAATAAAAACTATGTAATTTAAAATTATAATAAATCGTCACTATATTAATTATTAATATTGAAAATCAAATATATTTGTCATCTAAGTGCTTACATATATACATATGTACATATTTAATAATTAATATAATATATATATATATATATATTATATTAATTAGGGGCGAGTAATGCCATCTCCAACCCCGCTTCGGGTATGAAAATAAATCCTCATCTCATTCCCGTTATGGTCGTTTTATCCGTTGGTGGGTACCCATCGACGGATAAAATTTTCATCTCTAGATTTTGAGGTATTCGGCTTTTACATAAACACCTTATTTTTTAATTCAGGTTTGGATTTCGGACCATTTAGATTTTGCACACTCCTAATTTGTTTGATTATAATTGTTGCATAATTTTAAGTGATGCATTATTTTAAAAATACAAAATAAAGTGATGGAATAGTTTATACCTATATAATTCTCTATCTTTCAATCCAACAACTCTTTAGATCTTCCAGAACATTTAAAAAGGTATTAATTACCCAATATTAAAATGTCCATCAAAAATGTTCTACATCATTAAAGAAAAAGAAAAAGAAAAAAAAGGATCTAATCCTGACTATGATCACCTTTTGAAATGCCAATGACGGATGCATGAGTCAAAGCAAATAGGGGTGTTTGTGTAAGTTTTTACAAAACGAGGTTTATATATAAAAAAGCAAAAGATTAAGGGGTGAAAGTATAAATATAGACAAAGTAGGTGATGGGTCTTTGTTCACGGTGGCATACTCAATTGTGACAGCTATTTAACCTGAAGTGGGTCCCGCTGTTACAAGTCTCACCTTTGACTAGTTTTTTAGTGTTTCCCACATGACATAATTAATTTCTATTTTAGCATAATATTTTAGTGTTACATTACTTGTATCCAGTTTCATATGATTACCTCAATATTTTCCTAAATCTTCTACGAGTTTAAAACTATATAAACTTAAATTTAAGTTTATATGTACAAAATATTGGAACTAAGTTGCATGAATCATCCATGTGGTGTTCTGCAACTATGGGAATTGTCATTCAAATTTCAAAATTGCCAATGTCTGCTTACGTCCATCCCTACCCCTACATTTTTCCGTTTTGCATCTTGTTTACGACAAAAAATTTATTAGACAAGTATATCAAGTGTGTGTACAAAGCATTTTAAAAGGGAAAAAGAAAAACCCAACCCTACACATCCTAGTCCCTCACATAGCAGATAGCACCACTGCCACCACCCCTCTCTTTTATTTGCTTCTAGATCGGCCACCACCCACCCTCCATCTCCTTCAAGATCTGCATCACCACCGTGACTCTCCTCTCCCCTCTATGTGTTTTAAGATCTACCACCACCACCCATCTCCTTCAAGATTTGCATGCATCACCACCGTTATTCTCTCTTTCATTTGCTTCGTGATCCACCACCACCTCCCAACACCCATCTCCAGCAAGATTTGTATCACCAATGTCACTCTCTCCTCCATCCGCTGCCACCATTACCATCACCCATCTCCTTCAAAGATCTGGATCACCACCTCCCCTCTCTCCCCCATCTACTTCTAGATCCACCACCTCCACCTTTCTCCTTCAACAAAGACTTTCAGAGTCTGGGTTTGAAGTGCTTTGTGAGGTTATGAACAATCATGAATGTTCCAACCTTTTCGGAGGGCCTTTTACACTGTGACACCCCATACTTCATATTTGTATATAACATGTACTTCATATAAAAGAAATACAAATTACACCACATAAGTCCCACTAGTACAAAAAAAACTTATATTACAGAAATCTACAACTCAAAAATTCCAAACTATTGTTCTTGCACTAACACATGGATCATAACATGTATCTTCAAAATACATCCATGAACAGATTGATCTTCAAAAACAACAGATAAGCATATAAGGAAAATAATCATATTTCCCCCTTCCCCTTATTATCCCGAGACCCTCTTGATCCTGCAATGCATATTTTATAACACAAAATGAGGGTTAGACCAGAAGGTCTAGTGAGGTAACCCTTTCTTTGCAATTACAAGGTGAAGATCACCAAAATTGGTTAAAATCATATGTAATCAAATAAATACATAACAGCTTGTTATAAATCCTCAACTCAAATAACTCATTCTAAAAACAATTTATAAATCTTTCCTACCATACATAATGCAAATTTCTCAACTCCCCGCAACACACTGTGCGAGACCATCCAGAACCCCCTGTCCCATAAGGACCAGAGCCCCCTTTGGTTCAACAACCAAAGCTCCCTCTGGTTTAACAACCACAACAGAATCACATAAATCAATAAGTTGTTACAAAATCAATTTCCAAATATAATGCAAAGCCCCAACTAGAAAGTCCGTTGACGACCAGAGCCTCTCTGGACCATTTATAAATAGATCCAACACTTTTAAGATAACCAATATGAAAATATTGGCCTGGTAAGAAACAAGTTACAAAATGCCCCAACCAACCAGAGGCCCTTTGGATAACCAGAGCCTCTGGTTTGCATAACCAGAGATGATGCATTTTAAAAGATAACTTTATAAAGATTTTAATATATGACCAAAGGCCCTCTGGTTAAATGTGAAGATCAACCAAAGCTCCTCTGGTTCACGTGCCAAAGATATTACAAGAACCACTTTGAATCAAACCAACCAGAAGCCCTCCAGATAAACAAAACCCCTCTAGTTGAACAATGTTCTGACTTCTAAGTGTTTATTATGAAAATGAAGTTTTGAAAATAGTTGAAATACAAAGCTCGAATCATATAACTCAATTTCCAAATCCAAGGCCTTTGCATAACATATGCCAAGTTTCTGATTCAAGACAAATTGAATATTTTGAAAGAACCAAAATTTCCACATACAACCAGAGGCCCTCTAGTTCCACACAAAGATTAAACAGAGACTCTGTCCTCAAACACTTTTTTTCATCACACTCATAGGATGTGATAACCTAAGTCCTCATATCACACAAATATGATAACCTAAGATTAACACCTCACAAGAATGTGGTATAAGCCTATTATCAAAAGATCATTGCTTCCATAAAAATAGATTATGCCACCCTTCACCAATGTACGCATCTCCTAATTTTGCCACCCTTGTTTCAAATTTACGCATCTCCTGATTGTGCCACCCTTATTTTAAATGTACGCATCTTCTTATTGTGCCACCTTTATTACAACACATCATGATATAATCATGACCCAAATCCTCATTTTTCTTTGCCCATACTCGCAATCAAACCGTTTCAAAACAGAAACTCATTTAAGAACCTTAAAGTTCTCATACCAAATCCACTATTAAACTCAAACAACTGTTAAAAAATCCTTTATCAACTTCCCAACTATGAACCAGGAGGTTCTTTAATTTAAACATCAATTAAATGAATTTGATAACATAAACTCACCTTATGCACGTATTTAGGGCTGTAAACGAACTGAACGTTCAGTGAACCGTTCGTGAACCGTTTGTCAGGAAGTTCGTTTATGTTCGTTTATTTAATAAATTAACGAACATGAACAAAAAAATTTGTTCGTTTAGTTAAACAAACGAACAAGAGCCTCGTTCGTTCATTTATGTTTGTGAACGTTCGTTCATTTATGTTCGTGAACGTTCGTTCATTTATTTTCGTTTATCTATTAATTTTAATATATAATTTTTATTTATTTAGTTTGAGTTCAAATTTAAAAAACCTTTTTAAGTATTGGGCTTTTAAGAGGGTTTTGGTCTTTTAATATTGGGCCTTTTTAAGAGGGTTTTGTTGGGGTTGTCTTCTAGGTCAAGTTTGACGTATTGGTCGACTGGTGGAGTGGTGGTCGTGACTCGTGAAGGGTAGAAGCAGAAGGGGACAGGTGCACTGTAGATCAATTGCCAATCGTGAAGGGTAGGGACA